CAGCATTCTTATGTGTAGCACCATGAGTCAAGATGTGTGATAGTTACAAATATTAGTCACATCTGTGTCTGTGTAACAGACTCAAGCCACATGGTCATTTACTTAAGTCAGCTGGACACATTAGATGGGTTGCCCCAATTAGGATTAAGCCTAAACACAAATTCAGTCAAGTCTTCTAATAATTCAGCTGCATTAATCAATCAATCAATAATCAGAATCATAGTTAAATCTGCTTATTTCTGGTTTTACATCGAATCTACATTAGCTTTAATTCTGTTGCTAATTACATTAAACTCAGATTTAAATATTTTAGATTCAGATATTAAGTTTAAGTTTAAATTAGTAGCAGTAGTAGTAGTAGTAGTAATAGAAGTAGTAGTAGTAGTAGTATTTATTCATTTATTTATTTTTAATGTTTGAAAATATATATATATATATTTGTTGCATTATCTGTAGCTTTGTCTTCCATTATGCTTTCATAATGCTACATTTATTGATGCAGTAAATATTTTTCCATGCCATATTCACACTGCATATGCCCTGTTTCAGCATTTTCACTGTCTGCTTTGATCAGCTTTTTTCCAGTGGTGACAGTAAAAGTATGGGCTTAACCTTCAGAATGTATCCTCAACCTCAGATCATATAAATTCTGTTTAGCATTGTTTTATTTTCTGTTCCTTTTATATGAGGTGACCATTATTTTATTTATTTATTTTTTATTTTTTGCTTGCTACCAAAATGTCAAAATTTATTTTAAAACATGTATTTACTTACTTACTTACTTACTTACTTACTTACTCACTTTCTCACTTGCTCACTTACTTACTTGCTTATTTGTAAAAATTGTGAAAATGGAATAAGAATATTTAATTGTTATGGTATTCTTGGGTTTCATAGTTTCAAGGAATTTTTTGTAATGATGTTAAAATCAAGTGGTAAGAGGGTTAGTACATAATAGTTAAAGTACATATTGGAGCAAATCACCCATACAGCCTAGCCTTGGTGTTTACCATGTCAAACTGTAATTCCATATTGAAATTAATTTTCTATGAGATGCAAATTGTTTTTGTTGTTTCGTTACTGCACACATAATTGGCCAAGTAGATGCTTAAATGTGGCTTGTACATAAATATTCATTTGTGTATCATGTGTCTCAAAACCAGTGAGCGATGTCTTTTCCTCAACAGCGTGTATGGCTTCTACAAGGGAATCCTTCCCCCCATTTTGGCCGAGACCCCAAAGACAGCAGTGAAGGTAACAGGAAACACATTTGACTTGAGCTTAAACTCATCACTTAAACCATACATGCTCTGATCTTTGCAACCTGGCCTTCCGAGTGTAAGCATACACACAGACCACATACGTGTGTCCTCAGCGTACCGGCTTTAGCCAGGAAGATCAAAAACACTCAGCCTCTCTCTATGTTTGTCGTTATGCCACATGTGTTTGCTGTTGAGAACTCCCAATATTGACCTATATGGCCAAAGATTGCCACCGGCCTCACTTTAGTATCATGAATAAACAGTACGTATATACACTCTTGAGTTTAGATGAGCACTCACTGTGGCTTTAGGCCGTAGGTTATGGGCATCTCCAAATGAGTGTCTGAAAGGAGAGCGAGCACACTAATGTCTCACTTTTCCAATCCAAAAAAACATCTGGAAGGGGTTTAATTCCATTATTGGAACACTTTGGTTTGGTAGACTCAACATGCTTTAACCGTTTACCATAAAGGACTTGTTCACCTGAAAATTCACATGAAATTTCTGTTATCATGTAATCATGTCGTTCAACCCATTTGACTTTCTTTCCTAAGTGGAGCACAAAAAGATACATTTAGAATAATATTCTGGTGACTTTCTTCCAGTGAATGTGGATTGGAGATTTTTAGTTTCAAAAAGGGCTCAAAAGCATCAGAAATGTAGTCCATACTCTGTAGTCCATTGTCTTCTCAGGCCATACACTCTTAAAAAGAAAGGTTTACTTACTTACTTACTTACTTACTTACTCACTTTCTCACTTGCTCACTTACTTACTTGCTTACTTGCTTATTTGTAAAAATTGTGAAAATGGAATAAGAATATTTAATTGTTATGGTATTCTTGGGTTTCATAGTTTCAAGGAATTTTTTGTAATGATGTTAAAATCAAGTGGTAAGAGGGTTAGTACATAATAGTTAAAGTACATATTGGAGCAAATCACCCATACAGCCTAGCCTTGGTGTTTACCATGTCAAACTGTAATTCCATATTGAAATTAATTTTCTATGAGATGCAAATTGTTTTTGTTGTTTCGTTACTGCACACATAATTGGCCAAGTAGATGCTTAAATGTGGCTTGTACATAAATATTCATTTGTGTATCATGTGTCTCAAAACCAGTGAGCGATGTCTTTTCCTCAACAGCGTGTATGGCTTCTACAAGGGAATCCTTCCCCCCATTTTGGCCGAGACCCCAAAGACAGCAGTGAAGGTAACAGGAAACACATTTGACTTGAGCTTAAACTCATCACTTAAACCATACATGCTCTGATCTTTGCAACCTGGCCTTCCGAGTGTAAGCATACACACAGACCACATACGTGTGTCCTCAGCGTACCGGCTTTAGCCAGGAAGATCAAAAACACTCAGCCTCTCTCTATGTTTGTCGTTATGCCACATGTGTTTGCTGTTGAGAACTCCCAATATTGACCTATATGGCCAAAGATTGCCACCGGCCTCACTTTAGTATCATGAATAAACAGTACGTATATACACTCTTGAGTTTAGATGAGCACTCACTGTGGCTTTAGGCCGTAGGTTATGGGCATCTCCAAATGAGTGTCTGAAAGGAGAGCGAGCACACTAATGTCTCACTTTTCCAATCCAAAAAAACATCTGGAAGGGGTTTAATTCCATTATTGGAACACTTTGGTTTGGTAGACTCAACATGCTTTAACCGTTTACCATAAAGGACTTGTTCACCTGAAAATTCACATGAAATTTCTGTTATCATGTAATCATGTCGTTCAACCCATTTGAATCACATTCACAGTCAAGCGAAGCACTCTCCTCATTACATGGCGTCCTGGCAGCGGGAATGAAGTGTAATCGAGACGAATGCGGCTCAGCAAGGCATGTGAAAGATAGCCCATTACTTTGACAGCAGTCTATCAGTGTGGCAGCAGGCTTGACGGCTGAGCCCAGCGGCGGAACTCGCATCCACTGCCTCGTCGAAGGGGCAAAACATTCACCTGCATTATCAATCACACCTATCTCCGCCCTCTCTAGCTAGAGATCTCAATCCACACAGAGCCCACAGGCGCTGGGAAGATTGATGTACGGAGTGTGTGAGAGGCAGGAGGTTGAGTGAGATTGTTTCCAAGACCGTAAGTGAATTCAACAGAGCGACTGAGCTGTGGCTCCGCCCCCAACTGAAACGACACCTGCCAGTCCGGTGTGTAAGTTTCAGTGTCCCCCAAAATAGATTTTGGGATAGTTCACCTTACTCACCCTCATGTCATTCCAAACCTGTATGACGTTCTTTGTTCTGTGCATCTCAAAAGATCTTTTGAAGAATATTTTGATTGTTTTTGTCCATACACTGAAAGTCAAAGGGGTCCAAAACAGTTGATTTGAACTGTTTGGACAAAACCAATGAGACAACTTTTCTCACAACAAAACATTTTTGACTTTGATGCGATTGACATTTGCAAATTTAGTTTCATGCTATGAAAGTAGCTTTTTACATGTTACATGTAAAAGATAAATGCAGTTCTATAAAATCATATCTTACTGTTATAAGAAATATGGATATAATACAAAGGAAAATTAGGTTTTCCTTAAATATTTATGGGATTACAAGTGCAACCTATTATGGGATGGTCACACTACACTTTTTGTTTTATTGACTTTATCTGAAGACATTTTGAATTTCACTGCATTCCAGAGTTCATGTCAGGAATATGAACCTGTTTTGTTGTGTTTTCCCTCTGCATGTGCTCCGTGACCCAGTTTATCTCATGCTTGATTGTGTTCATGTCATCCAGGTGTATATTGTAATTACCCTCGTTACCCCATGTATTTAAGTCCCAGTCTGTGCTGTCTGTCTTTGTCGAGTCTACTAATGTCATGTTTCAGTCTTTCCTAGTGTGGATTACCCTTTGTTTTGGATTTATTAAAGACTGGTTCTCTGATCCACGTCTCCGTCGTTCTCTCTGACACAGTGTGTGACAGAAGACCCGACCTCACAAAAAATTTAACTGCATGTTTTCCCTCTGTTTGATTTCCGTTTTTTTTTTTTTCAGTGTTTCTTTTGTTTCCCGTGTTTTCCCCCATGGATCCCCTCACCGCTTTGTTCATCTCCCTAGCCTGTAAGGACCTTCCCCTCTTAGAGTATGCGGTTGAGTTCCGCTACGCTACGCTGAACTCGATGTTCTGGATCGGGGCAAATTACCACCGCCCCGTCGACCTCCTAGACACCACTGGACTGAGCTGGAGGGAAGGTATCATACGGTGTCTGGAGATCATTTGTCCCCGATCCAGAGCACAGCCAGACCCAGAGCCCAGCCCCCCATCACCCTGCTGCACGGAGCGCAGGCCCGAGCCCACCGATGATGGAGAGCCCGAGACCGCCGTGACCGATGAGCCAATACCGCACGGAGCGACAGAGCTGAGGATCGCCACAGAGCCGGAGCTGCTAGTGACGTCAAACCAGGTGCGAGAGCCACCTACAATGCCCGCCACAATGGAAAAAGCCGTGGAGAGCGCGGAGAGGAGCTCCGCCCGCTGCACCACGGCAGGAGGGTGAGCTTATTGTGTATCTGGGACTGCCGGATTTTGAAGGGGACCTACTAGACTGGGAGGCAGATATATATACAGACATGTCCATTCTCCTCCCTCCTTCATCTGAGCCCTCTGTCAATCCTGTCCCCATGTCACAGAGAGGGCTTCCGGTCCCAATTTTGGCTCAGGGAGAACTTTTGCTCCTGAGTGCAGCCCTGAGAGCCCGGAGGCTCACAAATGACCACCCACCCTCCTGTTCCTGCCTCCTCCACCGCTGTCATCTGGAAGACACTCTGCTTGCCCTCAGCCCACCATCTGTGCAGTGGGATCGCCGCGGGTCTGCCAGTCTCCATCGTCATCGTGGCTGGGTGTATAAACTGGAGCATTAGATTTACTCAAATGAACTAATTGGAAGCAGACTGAGGTATTTGTTGGGGGGGGGGTTACAGTTGAAGTCCTACTGAAGATTAGTAATCCCCCTTCATCTGGTGCTAAGATCATCATTGCCTGAGAAGCCAGAAACCTCCAGCACTCAATCATGCAAAAGGGCAGAGCTCACCAACCCTGATTTGACTGTCTATTGCAAAAAAATCGCAGGGAAGCATATGGTTTTTTAGGTGGAGCATTTACTTTTCTTTAGTATTTTCAAAGAAGCCAGTCATTCACTTGGGATCAGGATCGAAATCAATGGTCCTTCTCCAGGGGTATCAAATCAAATCCTGCACAGGCTCCGAGATTTAAGGAGCATTTGCTATGAAACCAGCGACTCTTTTCTATGAACATTGAGAAAGTGTGATACAAATGTAATAGCAATGAAGGGAGTGTTTCGTGTGGAAACTATACATAAGGCGGAGCGCTGTTGTTACACATCAATGCTCTTCCCCTACAATGCGACGTTCAGGTTTAGCTGTCAATGTTGCGTGTCACTGCTGGGCTGCTGTCATTTGTAAAAAATATTCTGGCCAATTAGATGTCAGAGCTGTGCTGGTTCAGGCTTCTTTTGGTACAGTAACTAGTGTCGAGTCGCAGCCCAATTACCCAAATTGTCCCCATATGCCTCCCAGTCTGCCTGCGTGAACTCTGTTTATAAATCCTCTCCCAAAGTTTGCCCTTGGTCATGTGACCTGCTTCAGCCAATAGTAAAGCCTCGCTCTTCTCATGAAACTCTAATCTGTGCCCTGCTACCATAAAATGATCTGAGGTTTTATTTCAGCTTTGCATTTACATCCTTGACTCTGTGCCCCCTTTATTCACTTATTTCTTTAGTCCTCCCTTGCTGGATCACTCACTTGCATATTTTCCATTGATAATTTCATATCTCTCCTTATTAGCTCCTATTAGCTTATTAGCTTATCGCCCTACATTGTCTCTGTGTTCGTTAATTTGCATTTTCGTATCAACTAGAGTGTTATCTCATAATTTTGAATATTATGGCCCTGCCAATAAAACAGTCATCAAACAGTTATTGTTTTATCACTAAAGGAATAGTCCAGTTAAGTGCAATCAACATCACTTATTTTAGCAATTTATTTAGACTTGTCCCTTTTTTTAATTCAAGAAAAAAATTAGGTATAGTCAGGCACTTACAACGACAGGTAATGGGGCCAATTTGTAAAGTTAACTCATTGTTTCAATTATGTAGTGGCAAGAAATAAACAATATGTTTGTTAAAATGATTTTAGTGTGAATAAAATTACTTATTAACCTTTCCTTTGTAAAGTTATAACCAGTTTTATTTGTGCTTTTAAATTACTTCCATTGAAAGTGCCTCAACATAATTTTTTTTTTTTTTTTTGAGGGGCAAGTCAAAATAATCATCCCACAAGTGCTGTCTGTAACTTGTAGAATATTCCTTTAACTTTACATCTAAAAGTAAACTTTTAGACTTTCAGACCACTTTATTTTACAAATTGAATGTCACAATTTTATTTTAAATTTACAGAATATTCCTTTAACATCTTCAGCAAACATTAAAGTAAAGCATTGTTTGCAATTCATGAGAACGTTTGCTATCGGTTTGGTGTCAGGAACGGTCTCGTCCTGCGTGAACATTCCTTTCGATGTCGCTAAAAGCCGTATCCAGGGTCCTCAGTCCGTTCCAGGGGAGATCAAATACCGCAGCTGCTTTCAGACCATGGCTCTTGTGTACCGTGAGGAGAGGTAAGGCCTGAGTCTACACCATCACCCTACAATTACAGGTGTCAAAATTACACCCGACAAGAGGCATTAAACCAACCAGAACTGCTATGAGGTTCAACTACAAGAAAAATTCTACAACATTTTTTGTTTATCCTTTATCCTTAGGGGACAAAAGGGCAAGTTTTGACAACCCACCATATTTAAGCACCCTCTAAATCTCAGTATAATTATGTTGTCCTTTTGTTCTGAGCTATATGCTGGAAAATAAGCACTAATATACTTTGTGTCATTTCTTTTGTCTAGATCTTGATTTGAATTACATAAACTTTCCATAACATTTTTAGTAGATACTTGATCTGGATCCATAAAATGGATATGGACGTGTTTTACCATGTGCATTTCACATCCTAGAACTCAAGACAGTAATAATGGGTGAATGATATAAGGCTGCATTTTTTGATTTGAATTACATAAACTTTCCATAACATTTTTAGTAGATACTTGATCTGGATACATAAAATTTATATGGACGTGTTTTACCATGTGCATTTCACATCCTAGAACTCAAGACAGTAATAATGGGTGAATGATATAAGGCTGCATTTTTTATATATAAAGTCTATTAATAAAGTATACAAAAATGAAATAAAAATGCAGTTCATACACAATGACTTAAATACACATGTTCTGTGATGAGCATGTTTTACATTTCTAATTTAAAACCAATTTTAATATTTGTTTAACCATAAAGTAAAAAACTAAATTAGGGGCTACAATTATGCCAAATAGTTTGGCATGATCTTTTGTTATTGTTTCTTTAAAAAAGTAAATAAAAAAATAATAAACCTGATTTACTGCCTATTAACATGTGAAAAAATACTGCCGTTGCTTTAGAATATATAAATATTTTAGCATACAGTATGATGACAAATAAGAATAAGAACTAATGCTCAAAAATGGCACTTCAAGGAAGATTTTATGCAACAAGCGTGAGATCAGCTGGCATGCTTGTGTGAATTCATTGTGTAAACACTGTGTTGATTCTGACATGGGCTGTTGTTTCTTAGTGAAGACCCTAATAGTGCCCACAGCACTATTCTCCCTCTCTCTCTCTCTCTCCATCTGAATTGTGAGAGAGAATCAGTAGTTTTATGGCCCTTCAGGGCCTTGATTGGCCCCGTTCACTCTGTACAAAGGGAACGGCAACTCATTTGTTATTAGAGGCAAAGAATGGAGGCCTGATCTTGGGCAAGGCAGGGTGCGTGTGTGTAAGTGGGTTAAAGAGAGAGACACTGAAGCTGTTTTAGTTTTAGGGGTGCTGAGAGGGTACCCTATCCTGTCCAGCCCTCTAGCACGACACAGTCCTGGCTAATTAGTGGTCCCTATGGGAGACGTCGTTAAGCAGGTCCTAACGAGGCGCGCGGCGCTCAGCGGGTCAGTCTAATCAGACAGCGGGGCAGAGAGGAAGTGGCTCAAGCCTTATTAACACCAGCACAAGCAGAGGACAGAGGCTGGGACAGAGAGACCGCCAGGCCCACTGCCAGAAATCAGCTTGAACACATTAGGGCATGTACGCAACAAAATCAGCTATTAGTGCCCTATACCTGTTCCAGCATCACAGACAGACCAAGTCTAAGAGAGAAAGAGAGTGAGAGAGATGAATTACCTTAAAGGGATAGATCAGCCGAAAGAAAGAAAGAAAGAAAGAAAGAAAGAAAGAAAGAAAGAAAGAAAGAAAGAAAGAAAGAAAGAAAGAAAGAAAATTCTGTAATTTACTCACCCTTGTGTCATTCAGAATCGGTATGACTTTCTTCAGTGGAACACAAAAGAAGATAATTTAAGGCAATGTTAATGCTGCTCTTATCCATACAAAGTGAATTTTCAAGTTCCAAAAAAGGACGTGAATGCATCATAAATGTACCACGTTAAGCAGGTCCTAACGAGGCGCGCGGCGCTCAGCGGGTCAGTCTAATCAGACAGCGGGGCAGAGAGGAAGTGGCTCAAGCCTTATTAACACCAGCACAAGCAGAGGACAGAGGCTGGGACAGAGAGACCGCCAGGCCCACTGCCAGAAATCAGCTTGAACACATTAGGGCATGTACGCAACAAAATCAGCTATTAGTGCCCTATACCTGTTCCAGACAGACCAACAGACCAAGTCTAAGAGAGAAAGAGAGTGAGAGAGATGAATTACCTTAAAGGGATAGATCAGCCGAAAGAAAGAAAGAAAGAAAGAAAGAAAGAAAGAAAGAAAGAAAGAAAGAAAGAAAGAAAGAAAGAAAGAAAGAAAGAAAGAAAGAAAGAAAAAAAGAAAAAAAGAAAGAAAGAAAATTCTGTAATTTACTCACCCTTGTGTCATTCAGAATCGGTATGACTTTCTTCAGTGGAACACAAAAGAAGATAATTTAAGGCAATGTTAATGCTGCTCTTATCCATACAAAGTGAATTTTCAAGTTCCAAAAAAGGATGTGAATGCATCATAAATGTACCAATAAATTCATCCATATGGCTAGGATGACGACATCACTGAATCATCAGTGAACTGACTTTAGCTGAAAACTGACTCTGTTATTGTCTTATTGCATCATTGACAAACTATTTTCCTGTTTGACTCTGTAAAGCTGCTTTGACACAACCAGTATTGTATATAGCGCTATACAAATAAAGGTGACTTGACTTGACTACTCATTCTAAGTCTTCTGAATCCACATGATAGATTTTTGTGAGAAAATTATAAAATTTTAAAGGGATTTTGTGTTTTATGTTCTCATGCATCAAGAAAGTAAGGTTGACCTTCTGTTTGCCATATTTGATGAGATCTATGTATGTACGTTTGTCAATGTGAATAAAAGCCTAAATTTAAGCGTGTTCAAACTTGCCTTGCGATGACCAATTCCATTTGGTGTTGTTGACATTTGAATAGCAATTTACATTTTAGTCCATAACTCGTACAAATCGCATGGCTTCAGAAGACCTTGAATATAATGCACAAGTAGTATAGACTACTTTTATCATACTCTAATGAGCTATTGGTGTCCTTACATTCTGTAGGGAACCGAGCAGCATTACAATTTTCAGAATTTCTCTTTTTGTATTCCACAGGAGAAAGCAATTCAAGTCATTAAATTATAATAAATGTAACTGATGTATCTGTGTGTGTGTGTGTGTGTGTGTGTGTGTGTGTTTGTTTTCTGCAAATATCTTGCCTTATACAAAGGACTGATTCCCAAGATCATGAGACTTGGACCAGGTAACATAAATAAGTGCATAGTTTTACTATATTTAAGGGATAGTTCACCTAGAAATTAAAATGCTGTCATCATTTACTCTGTCTCAGTGTTTTTTCCGCATACACTAAAAGACAATAGTTTAACACACACTGTTTTGGTTCTTCTTTTGTGTTGAGCAGAATAAAGAAAGTCATACAGGTTTGGAACGAGGATGCATAATTGATGACAAAATTTAAATTTTTAGGTGCACTATCCCTTTAACATATGACAATTATCCATGCCCTTTAACTGATATTTACTTTCTGAATATAGGAGGTGCAGTCATGCTGCTGGTTTATGAATACGTATCTGACTGGCTGCAGAAGAACTTGTGATTATCTGCACATTACCATCAGTCTGTACTCCATCCTTCCCCAGGTCAATCAAACAGAATGCTGTGATTGTTCCTCAACAATCACACCAACCAGATCACAGCTCCTCAGACATGTGACATGTAGGCTCTCCACAGACGCTTTGCAACAGCTCAGTCACTCCCTGGATCTTGACATTCCATGTCTTGTTTATATATAACAGAACACAACTACTGAGACATCCGAGAGTTACCTGTCCACATGCCTGCATATGTAATAGTAACCACAGCAGCTCTACACACCTCAACTGAAAATACCAAACAGAAACAGCACCTCATTAATTAACTCATTTTAACCTAAATTAATAATTTTTGACTGAACAAGACTGAATTACAGTAAGCCTGAGGGATGCGTCTACTGGATGGCTTCCTTATGACTTTGACTTTATTAGATTTAGTTGAAAATTTGTCATACTGTATGTCACTTTCCGTGTTGAAGATATTCGAAGCTCTCAAGGTCTCACTTCTTAATAGCCATATCAATTGTGTTTCAAAGAGAGCACTCTTGATACGCTTAACACTTAAATGTGTTAAGCAATGGCATATTGTTACATTCAGACAAAAGCACAAATTGAACTTTGGGCATTCAAATTCTACTGAAGTATTTGGGGATTTCAAAATAATTTTTAATGTAAAATAATTATAAAATCAAAAACATCTTAAAGCCAGAAATGGTTACAAGTATCCATGTAATAGCTGTATTTTGACAATAATTGCTCCTGAACTATGATAAATGAAAATGGTTGTGGGTGCCATGAAATAAAACTCCAAAATTACACCTTTTAACCACTGAATTTTCATGACTTTTCCAGTTGATTTCCGGAAGAAAAAATAAAAAATAATTAATCTTACTAAATATTTTATTGAGTTTTCTACCAGATGACATCTTTTTTCTTTAAACTTTATATTCACTTCTAGAAATGTCCATAGCTTTCAGGAGTTTATGAATTTCTGGGTTTTTTTCTTATCTTAGGGCTAGACATCACAACTTTAAGGTTTTTTATGTACTATGACGTTTGCCTCAAACTCCTAATTTGCTGCTTATTAATAGTTAATAAGGTAGTTGTTAAAGGGATAGTTCACTCAAGAATGAAAATGTGATGTTTATCTGCTTACCCCCAGGGCATCCAAGATGTAGGTGACTTTGTTTCTTCAGTAGAACACATATGATGATTTTTAACTTTAACCGTTGCAGTCTATCAGTCGTATAATGCATGGCAATGGTAACAAAATCTATGAGAGTAAAAATAACATGCACAGACAAATCCAAATTAAACCCTGCAGCTCGTGACGACACATTGATGTCCTAAGACACGAAACGATCGGTTTGTGCCAGAAACCGAACCGTATTTATACCATTTTTTTGACCTCTAATACACCACTATGTCCAACTGTATTTGGGCGCGCGCACGGCATCCGGTGCGTGAGGTGAGTACGCTCTCTGGCGTAGTTTACGCAAGCGCTGGAAGTGATCTCTCGCGCGTATACGTCACTCATTGTTTACACAGTGCACAGTCATTGTAGGTACGACGGCTAATCAAAATGGTACTTACTTGCACT